CTATGGAGCACAGCTCTACTCTGATACGTGTGAGGTCGCCATGAGTAGGCGCCACCTGGATGGCAACTGGTTATTGTGTTAGGTAATGTATCTGTTACTTGACTTGATACTGATGACAATGCTGCCAATGGAGTTTTACTATTCACATTGTACAAATGGGGCTTTATCAGATTGAACATCTCACCCAGCTGGGCAGCAAGTAATGGATTTGAACTCTTGCTTGTCTGACATCAAAGCCTGGGCTGTGATCTCTACCTTGTACACATCTCACCACCCCTTCCCCTAAAGCCCTTCCTCAGCATGCCTGGAGTTTCCTACCTAGACATACCACTAATTCCATTGCTTTTGCTCTGGTGAACCATCTGGCCTGCCCAAATGCCAATCAATCTGGAAGGAAATAGGGACTGGTTTTGGTAAGAAGACCTCTCCTCCGGGACTTAAATGTTCTAACTGCTCTTTTCAACAGAGCTCTGGTGTCCCAGTGGTTAAGGCATCCAGCTGCTAACCTAAAGGTCCTCCACAGGAGAAAGATGTGGAAGTCTGCTTCCATAAATTTACAGCCTAGGAAACCCTCTGGGGCAGTTAGTCTACTCTGGCCTACGGGGTCACTATGAGTCAGAATCAACTTGATGGCAATGGGTTTGTTTTGTTTTGTTTTTAACTGCTCTTTCAATTGTAGAAAAAGTTTCCTGCCCTCTATCCACCATGGAAAGAAACACTGCTCAGAGACTGCATGCTGAGACCAAAATGTCATCATAAGCTGCCTCTCACTTCAGTTAGGAATTTTCATTAAAATGCCTTTTCATTTTCAGCCCTAATACCTTAGCACTTCAAACCCCAGATTTGATAGTCTCTGGAAATCCAAAGTCATTTTGAAAAAAAAAAAAAAAAAGAAAGAACTGTGGGGAAGACTGATGACATGTACAGGGTTATTTTAAAGTGATAAAGCAAATAGCAAAAACTAACAGAGCGGTACCCTACTTTGATAAATACTTAAAAATCACTCATAACCACATAACCATTCTACCCTATGTGTGGGTGTGGGTATTTATTTGTGTGTGTATGTGTGTGTGTTTGTGTGTGCGGGTGTGTTTGTATGTGTGTGCACTATTCTCTTAGGATGTGTGGAGTTCTTTCTGCTTACAAAACAGTTTAACTTCCTCTGGTGGCATAGTGCCTGAGGCATATGACTGCTAACCAGAAGGCTTGCGGTTCAAACCCACCAGCCACTCCTCAGAAGGAAGGTTGGGCAATCTACTTCCGTAGAGATACCACCTTGGAAACCCAAGGAGGGGTCCCTATGAGTAGAAACCTACTTGACCAGCAGTGAGTTTGGTTTGGTTTCAGACAATGAAAATGTATTGCTTGCAGAAGATGGCAGTGAGTTTCATTTTCTTTTGCAGGATCGTTTATGTTTCCTGGTTGGAAAGATCATGTCCATTTTCTGGTTTCTGAGTGCATTACGGACCTGACACTGACTTTCATAGTGAACATACAATCAGGCAACTACAGGAGGGAGATCAACTTCAGGGCTCAGTGGAAGCCGGCTGAGCAAAAGTGGGGCTATAGCGCCCTCGTGCGTCCAGGGCAGTGGAAGTCACCAGAAGTGAGAGGAGAAACTTGCTCTGCCCAGCACAGACAGCATTTCATGCTTAATGAGTTTGCTATTCCTACCTGTCCATGCCAGGCCCACCTTTTCGCTGCCTATGTAAAGGTTCCAGGGTCCCAGGCTCTTCTTTCCAGTGTCAGCCAAGGGGCTGGTGGGGAACCTTCCTTCATAGCATCCACCCAGCCTTCGCATGCTCAGGGACCTGCTCTGAGAGATTTCCCAGCAGCGAGGTGCATGTATACACTTGGAATGGGGGGTAAATAAAAGCAGCATTAGTACATCTTGGAGGGGGGCAGTGGTGGCTCAGTGGCAGAATTCTAGCCCTCCATGCAGGAGACTCCGGTTCGATTCCTAGCCAAGGCACCCCACGCACAGCCACCACCTGTCTGTATTGGAAGCTGGCCTGTTACCATGAGGCTGAACAAGTTTCAAGAGCTTTCAGCCTAAGACAGACTAGGAAGAAAGGCCTGGCATCTACTTCCAAAAATCAGCCAGGGGAAACCCTATGGATCAAAATGGTCCCAACCTGTTGTACATGGGGTCTCCATGAGTCGGGGGCTCACTTGACAGCAGTTAACAGCAATACTTCTTGAAGGTTTTACACATCTTAAACACCTGGCTTGAAATCTTCCAAGAGGATATAACCACTACCGTTTGAATGATAAGGCACTTCTAAACAGCCACCTTTCTGAGTACCTGTATATTCTCACACAGATCAAATGATCCATCCCCTTGATAACAACCCAAAAAGGTAGATGCTATTATCCTTACTTTACGTCAGGAACGAAGAGCTCTTGTGGTACAGTGGGTAAAGCATTTGGCTGCTAACTGAACATTGGGAGGTTTGAACCCACCAGGTGCTCCACGGGAGAAGTTTTCTGCTTCCGTAAAGATTTACAGGCCTGGAAACCCTACAGGGCAGTTCTACTCTGTCCTAAACAGTCACTGTGAGTCAGAATCAACTCAGTGGCAGTTTGTTTGTTTTTCTTGGTTTTTACAGTAGGAACAGGTGAGGAACCTGAAGCTCCAAGAAGTCAAGTCACTCTTCCAGGAAGTAGCTGGGCCTGAATTCAAACATTTCTGTGCTCCTTCTTGGAGCCAGGGATCCTGTACTGGAGTTTTGGTCAGGCATGAGGAGAGCAGGTAGCAGAAGGTACAATATCACCTAAGGCACCTGCCACTGGGCTCCATGTGGCTGTTAGAGAGGGGCTATGTCTCACACCTAGCACAGGGCCAGCCACTTCGTAAGCATGTTACATGAATGAATAGCACGGCTTTCCATTGCAACTGGGCTACTCTTGTATTGCAACTTGAGGGATCCATGTGATATCCCAAGAGACCCCTCTGATTTCTAAAGCTGCCCCACTGAAGACAGAGGCCAGGCCAGCCCCTGGTCTCACTGCCACCCCACAGCTAATACCAGAGCTAATACGCCCTTCCCTGTTCACTTTGAGGCCAGGCGGCTGCAGGTGAGGTGACTCGCATGGCGACATCCTTCACTGCGTGGCTCAGAAAGTTCTTTCTGCCACCTTATTGTCCTGGGCACAGATAATTCCAACTCTGGGGTTAATGGCTAAGCTTTTAATCAAATTAGGATTTGGCAGCCAGAAAGAAGCATTCAAAGAAAATGTGAAGTTTTACGTACTTGAAAAAGGTCACCAGCCACTTTTACTCTGAGCTTCAAACATTCTTTTCCATGATTGGCCTCCCTCCCCACACCCGGAAACAAAATAATAACCAAATGGAAATTGCCATGACTATGAATAAAACGTATCTGCTATCAAATAGTCTGGGGAAGTTAATGAAACATTCGAAAGGGCTGCCTGTTGAAAGTGTTCTGGTGTTAAAGGAGGGGAGAGACTAGAGCCTCCCTTTCATCATCGTTGTGTGTTTCTTTCTCACATTTCCTCTCCTTCCCCCTGTGGATTTCTTCATGTGGGAGTGACCAGAAGAGCTCCATAGCCCTTGAGGCTGGTTTGTGATCTTGACACCTACACTCTCTGGCCTACCTGTGAGGGAAGAAGACCTCTTTGTTCAATTGAGTCCTACCCACTCCCTTTTCTATTACCTCCTCCTGCCCCAGCCCTTGCAGAGTTCCAACCCTAACCCCAGGCTGGAACTCTTCTGGAACTCCTCTGTCAGGTACAAGACCCTGGTGCGTGGTCCTCCCACCAACCACAGGCAGCCCTGGGGTCCTGGTTTTCTCAGTGTTGCAGGAAAGGCCTGAGAACATTCTGAGACCATGGTGACAATAAGCATTTTAGTAGAAACATCAAACTATTCTGAATATGACATAAATTTTTTTTCAGTGCTCATTTCCACCTTTTACATGCACTGACCACTCTCACTTTTGAAAGGGGTGGAATGAAAATAAGGTCTGAATTTGGCCCAGAAAACACACCTGAGGTGCTAACCATAGTAAGTAGTCCATTGCAAAGGATATTAAGGCTACAACAAATCCACACTGGGTTGAGGAAAGTCTGCTCAGATAGATATTCGGGGTCTACAGTTGATCCGGCAGTTAGAAAGCAGTGCCAACTGCTTGTCTGCCTCAGAGAGGTGATGTGAGTTACCTAATCTTAAGAGTGCTAAATAAAGGCAGTCTTACCCTAAACGGCACGAGGCTTAGCCTCCACTTTATTTACTCAACTTTCTGGGGCTGAGACCACATGAGGTGTGTTGTGTTTGGGAAGAGGGCCCAGTCCATTCAGCAGTGTCCTGAATGGGAGGGAAAGACACCACACTAAGCCATATATAACCTGCCTAAGTCCGGGTCCTTCCCCATCCTAGGAAAGATTTCATCTGAGAGCTGATTTGGATCAGCTTGCAAGTTAATTACAAATTAAATGTTTCAGCCTGCAGTCTGTTCCCATCATCTAGTTTTGCTCTTCTTGTTGTTTTTGTTGTTTGTTGTTATGTGCCGTGGAGTCGGTCCCAACTCATAGCGACCCCTCCTTGGGTTTCCAAGGCAGTATCACTGCGATTGCCCAACCCTCCTTCCCAGGAGTGGCTGGTGGGTTTGATCCTCCAGCCTTCTGGTTAGCAGTCAAGTACCTTAGGCACTATGCTACCAGAGCTCCTAAAAAGACGGGACTTTCACCGTCGGGCCGTGTCCGCACCGGCCCCAGAGGGGCGAGTTGTTAGCTGTTATCAAGTCAGCCTTTGAGCCATGGCAACCCTGTGCACAACGGAGTGCCATGCTGCCCAGTCCTATATCATTCCCAGGATTGGGTTGGGTTGGGGATCAGACCATTGTGATTCAGAGAGTTCTCATTGGCTCATTTTCAGAAGAAGAACACCTATCTTAGTCTGAAAGCTCCACTGAACCCTGCTCAGCATCACAGCAACACAGAAGCCTCCAGTGATAGATGGGCGGTGACTACACTTAAGGTGCACTGACCAGGAATTGAACCTGGGTCCCTCTCATGGAAGGTGAGGGTTCTACCACTGAACCACCAATGCGTCTTTGAGCATGTTCTCACCACTCTTCTCTTCTCTCTGACCCCGCCTTGCCCTTCTTCTTATTGACTTACTCCTCTTTATAAAGCAACAGTTGCCCTTTAACATAGCCCCCAGCAAACAGCTCTCAGGCACCTGGGAAATTAAGGTAATTACTTGTTAATTACTTGGCCTTAATATCTTCAGTTTGACCTACCCAGATAATTAAACTACGGTGGACTATTTTCTTTGTTGGATTTATCCAGATTTCCTCACTTCTCTATTCCACTTTGTTATACAGATTATCACTTCTACAGAATTTGTGCACAAAATCCAGGCAACCACTGCAGGAGTTGGCGAGGTGGGAGTGGGGACAGGGCTGGGCCTCAGACCAGATGGTCATGAATGTCAGAATCAAACCTGGCAATGAAATGCCTACACCATTGAGGATGCCTTTTTCAAGTTGTAGGTAGTTCCTTAGATAATCTATTCCCACCCAAAATAGAGAAGACATTCCATTCTGTCCATCTGCAGTAAAAAGGGCAAAACGGAAGATACCAGCCCCTAGCAAAGTCAGGAGCCACCATGTTATAGAAAGCACTGTGGTGGTGCAAAGGTTAAGCACGTGACTGCTAACCGAAAGGTTGGCAGTTCAAACCCACCCAGCAGCTCTAAGGGAGAAAGACCTGGGAATCTGCTCTGGTAAAGATTGTTGTTGTTGTTGCTATGTGCCCTCGAGTCGGACCCGACTTATAGCGACCCCTCCTTGGGTTGCTGAGGCGGTATCACTATGGAAGTAGATTGCCCAACCTTCCTTCCGAGGAGTGGCTGGTGGGTTTGAACTGCCAGCCTTCTGGTTTGCAGTCAAGTGCCTTAGGCACTATGCTACCGGCCTAGTAAACCCCATGGGGAAGTTTTCCTCTGTCACGTGGGACTTAACAACAATGATGGTGCCCTTTAAACTCAAAACTAAATTCACTGCCATCAAGTCTATTCTGACTCATAAAAAAACCCACTGCTGTCAAGTCGGATCCGACTCATAGCGACTCATCCTTGGGTTTCCGAGGTAGGATCACTGCAGAGGTAGATTGCCCAACCTTTCTTCCAAGGAGTGGTTAGCAGTCAAATGCTTTAGGCACTATGCCACCAGAGCTCCTATTAGTGTTTATTTATTTTTAATTTTTATTGTGAATTCATTTTCCATACAGCAGTTCACATACACTTTGTCTCATGACGTTAACTGCAATTTCCCATACTGCAACAGCTCTCTTCCTGCTTCCTCCTCATAGTTACCTCTTCCCTGTGTCCTTCCCTCCATGCACTCCTGCCCCCTGAGCTGTCACCCTGTGCATACACAGCCCTTCTTTCTCCCATGATTGTTCTCACCAAGGAGTGTATCTACCTAATGTAAATGTTCACCTCATATACCTGTCTTTTGTTTGGCTGGAAGCCACAGGATTGGATTCAATTACAGATGTAAAGGGCAACTAGGGGCCGTAGTCTCA